CTGGATGTGGAGCCTGCTTAAGATTCTTTCCTTCTACACCTCCCTCCATAGAATACAAAAGGAATAAAAAAAGAAAATACAATTTTTAAGAAAAAATCAAGTGAATGGATAAATTTGACTGAGTTAAGAAAAAGAATTAGTCTGCGAAAAGGAGTCACTAAAAAGCAAGTTGGGAAAGATATTTGCAACGGTTTTGTGATGTAGAATATGGAGCACTCTTAAAAATTAAATGAAATACTAACAGAGAGAAAATGTGGAAAGGATATGAGCAGCGTTATCTTTTTATTTTTGAAAGATTTTATTTATTTATTCATGAGAGACACACAGAGAGAGGCAGAGACACAGGCAGGGAGAGAAGCAGGCTCCCTGCAGGGAGCCCAATGTGGGACTCTATCCTGGGACCCCGGGATCACTCCCTGAGCCGAAGGCAGATGCTCAACCACTGAGCCACCCAGACGCCCCTGAGCAGGGTTATCCCATGAGGAAAGCATGTTATGATGACAGGATGCTGTTTTTTGAATGTAGAATTGTAAAAGGGGAAAGGAAGCGCGGATGATGCCCCGGAGGAGGTTGGATTCAGATAAGTACTGTCCTCACTGCCAGGCAGGCTCCAAGGGAAGCGGGGAGCATTTGAGCAGCGTGGATTGTGAGGCTTAGCTCTGTTCCTGCATTTGGCCCCTCATGTCACTCCTGGGATTCCATGTGAAGGAAGCATCACAGATGTGCTGGGGTGTATGGCCGAGGACCATTGATGATGGGGAAAAAGAAAAAACAGCGTAATGGTCAGTAAGAGGGCAGTGGTAAAGAAACCACCTTACTCGTATTATAACAAAAATCATCCAGCCATTCCAAGTCGTGTTTTCAAAAGAATTTGAATGATGGTGGGGCAAATGCTTTCTGGGTAACGGTGAATGAAACACGAATTAAAATTCTCCATTCTAGATGAGCTCAAACCCCACAGAGAAACTGTCAGGAGGAGATGCTATCCAAATAAAAATGATTATCCTGGGGTGTTAGAATGACAAGTGATTTTAATGCGTTCCTTTATCATTTTATTTTCCTGGATTTCTATAGAGGTGTATACCTTTCATGGGAAGGAAGAAAGAAAGCATTGTTGGAAAGTGCAAACGTGCTGTGTCTTTCGCCAAAATAAATACATTTTGCAGTCCTCTGGGTAAACAAAGCCTTGTCATTTGTCCTTACTGAAGAGAGTAAGGTTTAATCCTGCCACTCATTGAGGTGGCTTTCTTTTTGATATTTATAATGTTACCCTTGAGTTCTATTTAAAATGATTGATTTGGTGTATTTAAATTGCTGTGTTACTTTATAACCCTCGATTACCTTTTTATAGTGTCTGGCCAGGGGCAAATGCATAGACCTGAATCCCCAAGACATCGTAAAAACGTGAGCAAACTTTTCCCCCTTTAATAAGTGTCCTATAAGCCATCGATACTTGACTGATTTCTTAATAGTTACAATCATGGACATTTCTTTTTGTTCCTAGAAAAAGTTGATGCCTGATTACATTCTTGAGCTGGAATGATTTTCCTGAACTTATAGGTGAATGAAAACAGGAAATCATTTTAGTGTGATGCACATATTTAGCTTATTAGATTGTTTCTTCATTGAAACTGTATTGATACAAAAATGTGGCATGTGCTATAAAAACCTGCTGCATTAGAACGTTTGCTGTGAAATATTTGTGGAATATTATGGAGCAGCTTTGAGTCTCTTTTTGAAGTTTTTTAGGTTTTAAAATTCCTGTGTTCTCTTTTATTTTTTTAATTTTTAATTTTTTGTATTTTTTTATTGGAGTTCCATTTGCCAACATATAGTATAACATCCAGTGCTCATCCCATCAAATGCCCCCCTCAGTGCCCATCACCCAGTCACCCCATCCCCCCGCCCACCTCCCCTTCCACTACCCCTTGTTCATTTTCTGTATTCTCTTTTAATTAGCTTACTATTGTTAAATTAAAACTTTTAAGAGGGCTGAGAATTTATGGCTATTCAAGACCTCTAAGTTCAGATACAGTAAACTGTAGCTTATCTGTGCAGTGGGTGAGCTGTGCTCCAATACGGCAGCCAATGTGACTTTTAAATTAAAATTATTTATTTTTAAAATATTTTTTTAATTTATTCATTAGAGACCCGGGGAGGGGGGATGGGCAGAGATAGAGGGAAGCTCTGTCCTCCTATAGGCAGAGGGAGAAGCAGGCTCTGTGCAGGGAGCCCGATGCAGGACTCAATCTCGGGACTCCAGGATCATGACCTGAGCCGAAGGCAGATGTTCAGCTGCTGAGCCACCCAGGCATCCCCTGGAAAGTGATTTATTCTAGAAACCTGCCTCTAAGCTGTGAAGAGATCACACTTTGTTAACACCGGGGGGCTCCTGGGTCGTGTGCACCCCATTCTGCGGTGTCTGCTCCTACCTGCAGAGTGGAATGCAGGGTGGGGGTGCTCACTTTGGCAAACTGTCCTCCTGCCCTTGGGGCTTTGCTAGCACCTTCCCAGGTCTAGCCCGACTACCCTGTGTGCGCTCATAGCTCCTGCACGTTGCTGGCCTCTGCTTTCCATCTATTGCTGCTTGTCGCTGAGCAGCTTGTAAGGAGTCAGTGGGGACGCCCTCTGTGCAGGTGGCCTGGGCCACACTGTGTGCTCCGAGTATCCCACCTCCTAACTGGCTCCTTCAGGGCTTGTCCTTCTGCCCTCGCAGCCCTTGTGGTATCCCTGTCAGACTCCAGGGGACGTCTGGGTTCTCCAGCATGTGCCGCCTCCCGCTCTGGCTGCCCCCTGGGGTCGCTGGGTGTTGTGTCCCCGTCTGGGCGATCAAGTGATCTGCTTGTGCCCACCCTTCCGTCGTTGCGGCAGGTGTGTGTGTTACCTTGCATGCTCCCCGCGCATGATCTGGCAGCGGGCGCTTGTTGGCCGTGGGGCGTCAGGTGGGATGGCCACACTGGCTTGTCAACAGGTGGATTCTCTGCAGATCGCATCGGCGGTGGCCCCTCTCTGCCGGCGGCTCTGGAGACAGGCTGCTGAGTACAGCCACCCTCCATAAAATCCAGGCGTGGGGCACGGGAGCTTGTGTGGGGCCCTGGTGGCCTGTCCCTCTACTGTCTGGCCTGCTGGGGGCAGCCCCGTGGGGAGGAGATCTCTAGAACCACGACTCCCCACAAATTCGAGCGTCTGTGTTGTAACAGGAGTTGGAAAGGAGGGCTCTTTGGGTTGTGCCTATCATCATGTGGGTTATTTTTGCAAACTGATGTTGGTGGGGTAAAATTAGCCAGCCTCAATGTGGAAGTGCTGGGGTTGCCAATGCCCTCCATTCTGAATCATCCTGGAACCTGGCTGTCTGTTAAACGGGCTCCTTAATGCTTCATTAAACAACAACAACAACAAAAAAAAACTAAAGAAAAACACACCCAGTTTCTATTTAGGTTTAAGTCGTTTCTGGGTGCACCCTATTTTCTTGCACTGTCTCTCTTAGACTCTGTTGGAGGGCGGGGTTAAGACTCCCTTCCGGTGGGCAGGTGGTGTTTACCTGTCCTCGATGCGATTTTTAAACAAACCAAAGAAACCATTTTAGCCTTTTAACCAGGGCTTTCATATTTTCTGGGACAGCCCTGATTTAAATTGTTATCACTGGTTCTGACTCCTGCTCCTCAGACTACACACCCTCATTTTTGCTTCAGAAAAGATGGTAAGCACCTGTGCTCAGAGACTCTGGAATGTGTAAAGACAATCTCCCAGTTGTTTAACGTCCGCCTTATAATTTGTTGTTTCATTTGCTTATTTATGTACTTACCTACATACTAGCGAGATTCAGAGGTCATGGTACTTACCTTCATGCTAGCGAGATTCAGAGGTCGTGGTCCTTACCTTTGTGCTAGCGGGATGCAGAGGTCGTGGTACTTTAATGCTAGCGGGATGCGGAGGTCATGGTCCTTCCCCTCATGCTAGCGGGATGCAGAGGTCATGGTCCTTACCTTCGTGCTAGCAGGATGCGGAGGTCGTGGTCCTTCCCCTCATGCTAGCGAGATGCAGAGGTTGTGGAGGGAAGAACCCATCCAGACACATTTCCATGGTTCCTATTCTAAAATAGTTATTTTCTTTCTTTGTATTTTGATTGAGAAACGGCTTCATATCCTACCCCCGGCCCCTGCCCAGTGGGGACAGGCATAGTATTTTATATGAACAGGTGGATAATAAATACGTGCTGGATTAAGTTTCCGTGCTGCATACCTGGTATCTTTCCCGTCTCCTCCTCTGAGAGTTTTCTGCCTTTTTGCTGCCTTGGCACAGATGACTAACATCCTTTTATGAACCTTTAATTTTGACTGGGCCGCAGAATCGTTTTCCCGGGAAGCACCCGAAGCGGTGTGCACACGTGCGTGTGTGCGCGCCGTGGCCAAAAACAGAGTGATATTCTTGAAAGGTATTCTATTGTATCTGAGTCACAAAATATATTTAGGTGTGGAGGCACTGTCCTTTTCTTCATCCCTCCTTGCGCTTTTACTGATTTAAACTTCTCATCTATGCATGTAATAAGAGCAGGCCCTGAATGAGTGAAAGATTTAAAAGCCCTGCACGGCCGTGTCTGGCCACCCGAGCCGTCCGTGGCCGACCCTGGGGAGTGGCGTGGCTGGAACGTAAATGAGCTAAATTGCAGGTTCTGTGAGAAGTGCCTGTAATTTTACCTGTTTCTCCACCTGTTGTATCAGAATGCAAGTGAGGAACAGCCAACCTATTATAGGAAAAGTCTAGTTGGTCAAAAAGTGCTCTGGAAAACGTTGGTACTTTGGGTCTGGTAATGCGTTGCTTGGGACATGCGAGACGTCTTACCTGCGGTGGGCATTTTCTGTTATCAACATGATGTTGCATCCTGCATGTCAGAATGCAGGTAGCAGCTTGGAGAGGATGCTGTTATTGGGGCGGGGGGGGGGGCGGTTAAAAAAAATCAAAGTGCTCTGATTTTTTTTTTCTTGGTTGGTTGCCCTTAGGTAATTCTTCCTGCAGGATGCACTAAGAGAAGAGGATCCTTACTCACCAGGCATGGAGAGCAGTTTATCAGTTTCTAGCATGCAGGACCCTTCCTCTTCACCCTTGGAGAAACAGCAGAGCTCAGCAAGCGGTAATGGAGGTCTCGATTCAGGTGGGACTTTGCTTTCTGGATCTCTGACGTTTTGATGTAGTGACTGGCATCTTCCCGAACATATTCAGGCAACAATGGGGCAGACATTTCTAGATCTCCCACGCTGCCTGTTCCTAGGATTTGCTGTCCTATTCCTAAGCCTCTAGCAGCTTGAAAGTTGCGCCAAGTTTGGCTCAAAAATCAGTGTTTCCTGTACAAGACGGAGAGGGGTGGGTTATGATGAAGTAGTAGGTCACTGGAGAATCTCAGCGGTTCACACGATAAACGTTTATGTGTCACTCATGCTAGTTCAGGTGAGTAAGCTGGTGTTCTTTCTACTGAGTCCTTTTACACCATGTGCGCGCAGTGCTTTTTGTTTCGGAATGAGCAGAACTGGAGTGTCCCGAGTCAGCAGTGTCATGCTCCGGCTCAGAAGACACAGCTGTGACTTTTGCTCAGAACCTCTTGACCAGAACCAGTCTCGTGTTTGCACCGCTGCAAGGGAGGTGGGAAAATCAGACTCGTCTCCCACGTGCCGAGAGGGACAGGAGAGAGAGCGGGACCTGCCCAAGCACGGATGCCACCTCCTTCTCTCCTCTCTGGAACCTGGAGCCCGTCTTTCCGAGAGGTGCCTAATGGGAAAGAAAGTTAGGTCCTGTGAATATGTGGTCAAGTTTTTCCTCCCTTTAAGGAATCTAAAACCTAACTAGCTTTTGATTGAATTTTAATATTTAATCAACAAATTTGTACATATATCTTTTTCTAAATACACTAAATCCTGTTTTAAAAAGATACTTTCTTTAAAAAAAAAAGAATTGCTCTATTTGCATAACAGCAAATTAAATAGGGACAGCTTAGCTGCCTGGATCATGAACATTTGCTATGGTGAATTCACGTAAAACAGGTTGATCCTTAACTCAGTGGGAGATTGAATGTTTGTCCAGAGAAGTCACGATGCTCGTCTTCATATTCTGATGAGTGCCGTCAGTGGCAGCAATACAGATGGCTTCATAGCATTCAATTTCCTGCATTAAGTATCTCAAATTATATCTTTAGCTGCAAAAAAAGTCTGGAAAGCCCTGCAATTATTGTCTAAATATGTTCCATGATGTTAGTCTCTGCTTCAGAATCATCCTGGTTTTCTCCACCCAGCCCCTGGGGACTTTTTTCGTACGTGAACCGGAATGAGGAAACTTCTAGAAGCAGAGTCGAGTCATTGTCTGCTTGGGGAAGAATGGAGATTCTCTTGCAAGGGAACTCAGCCCTGTAGGCTGAAGGTTCACCCCAATTCTATGTTTTTAAGTGCTTTAAAAAAAAAAGCCTATCTTCCATTTGCTGCGTGAGGTTACTTTTCCAACTTTTGGTTCTCTGGGCTTTCCCTGTGTCTTTGCCGAAGGCACCTCTGATGTCTGCTACTGCCTCATCGTCAAAGGTGTGTCTTCAAAACTGTTGAAAAACCAAACCTGTGTTGCCTTTTCATTTCCTTGCAGCTGTGGTATATCTGTCTGGCTTAAGTAGATTTCGAAACCCATTGGTAATAGGGTGTCAGGGAAATTACTTGTGCTGCATTTCCTCGTGGGTGATTCCATGAATAGGGAAGGAGGAGATTGCACCGGAGGCCTGTCGTGCACATGCACTTCATGGTGGCTTCCTTGCTCGGGTGCGATGGGGTGCGATGGGATCATTCAGGACGCTAAGGTCTTTACTAGAAAGGGTAGTTGTAGGGCGCTCTAAGTTATCTTAACATGTCCAGATGTTGGCCTCAGAGCTTTTTTCCCCTGATCTGTCTTTTCTCCTTGGAATTTCCACGAGCACCTCTGTGTGGAGGAGACTTTTAGATGGTGCTACAAAGAGCAAGTCCTAAAAGAGAAATAAATTTTTTAAAAAAGGTTTTATTTATTTATTCATGAAACAGAGAGAGAGAGAGAGAGAGAGAGAGAGAGAGAGAGAGGCAGAGACACAGGTAGAGGGAGAAGCAGGCTCCCTACAGGGACCCTAACGTGGGACTCGATCCCAGGACCATGCTCTAAGCTGAAGGCAGATGCTCAACTGCTGAGCCTCCCAGGTGCCCCCAAAAGATAAATAAATTTAAAGCAGGATGTAAACCTCTGTAGAGAACCAAGGCTGACTTGCAGAAACTCAGTGGCATGTCAAACATTGAGTCTGTTAAAATGTCCTCAGTAGGAGTCGTCAGGAAGTTTACTTTCCCCTCCAAGCTGTTGGTACATGAAACAGTTTCCGCTCTGGAGTCGGTGGCAGAGGAGTCTGGTTGTGGGACCCCCTGCCAGCCTTTCAGGTGCCATCTGCCTACTGGAGGAGCCGGGGAAGGCATACTCAGGGTTCCCCAGCCAATGCCGCCTTGACTGAGGACAGGTAGGTACGTGATCCTGAGTTCGAACTCTGTGGCGGGCGCTCTCCTGAGTGCTTTATGTGCATCGACTCTGGGTACCCTTCCACGACCCAGTGAAATCACTGCTTTTATCACCCCCACGTTACCGAGGTGGGACGTGGACGACCTGGTGACATCACAGGGCTCTGTTGGAGCCGGGATTTCATTTCGGGCTGGGAAGTTGGTGCTCTGCACATGGGGCCGTACCTGCCCTTCCGTGCAGGGGGATGTCACCCTTGGCACCAGTGTGTGCGTGAGCATGCCCCTCCATGCACGCACACACACGTGCACACACACACTTTCTGGGACGCCCACACAGCCCAGCTGCTTTCTCATCCTTTCCTCTGCTGGTCTGCGGTCCCCTGTCCCCACGTGTGATGTGACACATGCCTCTTGCTCCCCGGCAAGCGACGACACATAGGTGCCTCTGGCTCTTCTCTGCCCAGAGATGGGCACTCCCTACACCCCCTGCCCCTGGGTATTTCAATTTAGTGCTCCCACACCCTAACCCGTGCCACTGTGACTGCTTGCACAGATGACCCATCCCTCTGAGACGAATAACTTCACCGTGAGACAGTGAGCTCTGAATCTCATCCACAGCTTTCATATTTCCCGTTTTGCCTCTTTTCCTAAGTCAGGTGGTAGTTTGGCACCTCAGTCCCGTACATGAAATACGCACAGCATAAAGTGACTCATCCTCCCAGGGGCGCCTAGGCCGTCGCTGGGATGCATGCAGGTCAACCAACGGGTGGCCCGGCCGGCGTACAGAGCGGACAGCCTTGTCACCGGGCGCACAGAAGGCAGTGGACCAGAACTGGCTTTCTGGAACTCTGGGCTTCTCCAGTTGCCTTGATAAGAGCAAGCAAAACAGTGTGCTGACATGGTGATAAATAGACTCCTTGACATTATTTTTCCAGGCTGGCTAAATGTAATTTCCTGATGAGGTCTGTAGATAAAGTGCTGTTGCACATTTAGACTGGGCAGGCCTCTGAGTAAAGAGAATTATGCTGGGAACATGGGCTTAATTTTTTGTTTTTTGTTGTTTTTTTTTTGGTGTTAGGAATATATTAACTGGAGTCCCATAGGCTTTTCTGTTCTGAAAGTACATATATATATATATATATATATTTTATATGTATACATACACATACACATATATATATATATTTTTAGGGCACCTCGGTGTCTCAGTCGATTAATCGTCTCCTTTGGCTCAGGTCATGATCCCAGTCTGCTTTTCTCTGTCTCTCTCTCTCTCTGCACCTAAGCCCACTCTTACTATCTCTCTCTCTGTGTCAAATAAAAATTTAAATATTTTATTTATTTATTTGACAGAGAGAGAGAACAATCGGGGAGAGGCAGGCAGAGGGAGAGGGAGAAGCGGATGGATGCCCTGCTGAGCAGGGAGCCTGACAACACAGGGCTCGATCCCAGGACCCTGCGATCATGACCTGAGCAGAAGACAAATGCTTAACTGATTTAGCCACCCGGGCACCTGGAGTCAACATTCTTGTTAGAAAAATTCAAATCTCTTGATCTTGATGCTGGGAACTGGTTCTGTGTGATTCCACAGTGTTCTCTGTTAAAAACAAAACCAAATGAACAAAAGGCCCCAAAAAACCCTCTCTTTAGGATAGTTCTTGCCCCCCTTCTCCCCCCAGTTGGGTGACTGGGTGATTTTTATGTGTTTTCTTTTTTTTTTTATTTTTGGAAAATCTCTGTGGCTGCCTGGGTCGTCTGAGTGCGGGTGACTGTCCGCCCTTCCCTGGGGGAAGCCCTGCAGCTGTGAACCCAGCCCTTGGAGTGACTCCGTCCGTTTCATATACTCAGTGGAACTGCTTTTTAAACCTTGTGATCCTAGGAATGGACTATCAGCAATGAAAATCAGCAAGATGTAATGCCTTCCTTTCTCTTCCTGTTTGCATGAAGGATCTTGAGCACACTGGAAGGTGTTGTGGGATATTTCATTGGCTCTGAACTGCAGACTTTCCCTTCTTTTACCGGGTGTTGGCCATGGAATCTTAACCTTCAGCTTTGCAAAGTTAGCCTAATTTCAGACTGTAAAATCAGAACCCAAGATTTGATTACTCAAAAAAAAAAGTGTGTGAGCCATTTTCCACTCTACACTGTCCAGTCGCTTGCACACCTCCACGTTTAGTGTTCTTTTTCTGTTGTTAGCAAATACGCCGGTCGCCTAAATAGCCTCCTGTTTTCCACAACTGGATGGCCGCTAATGAGCACGCCTGTTTTCTTTTAAAATGTGAAATTTTCTTGGTCGCGTTTCATGGCCTGCTTTCATTACATCATGGGGAAAAACGCTTCCGACCGGTGCCTTGGCAGAGGAGGGAGGTTGTCAGAGTTTCCCTGATAAAATGTTTATGGGTTTAAGAGGTTTATGAATCAGCTGTAAATATTTGCTCTGGGTTTATGAGACCTCCACTCATAAACAGTGTGTGTGTTTATCTATTGCTCATTGAAACGTCTTTAGAGAATGGGCTGTTCAGTGCACACGTGCTTGGCGGACGTGCCGTGAGTTACAGGTTGGCAAAGGCCTGAGGGTAGGGGACCCTCAGTTTTGTGTATGATTTTATTGTTCAGGCTACCAGCGCTGGCCATATAAGCTTTAATTTTTAAGGTCCCATTCCAGGGCCGACTTTTCAGTATTTTCTATGGACTGTAGAGCTTGTAACAGCTGCCTGCAGCCGTGAGCCACAGACTCTTCTTGCTGGGGAGTCACGGGGGGACCTTTCCATCTCTTGCTGACTCCCAAGGGAGTGTGAAAGCCATCTACAGCCTGTTCATTGATGGAAGAGACCCATGGTTGATAACAAATTAAGAATTCAGGGGGAACATCGGTGTAGAATGCGAGGCGCCTCGATTGGAATAGTTTGAATAGTGAAGCACCTTAACGCGTAGCCTCGAAGCTGACGCCGGGATATTTAGGCCACGGTCTCCCCCACATGGATGGTGATGGAGCTCATCAAAGCCTTCTAGTCCCAGGCACCGGTTCTGTCTCCAGGCAGGTGTTTCTGATGCCAGGGAAGCGATCACTCCCTAAGAGAGCCTTTCCATTTTCCGGGAGCTTTTAATCCACCCAGAGGCTCTCCCAGGAGCGTCTGCCTCCAAAGGCCCAGGACCAAGTCTTGTGCCCGTTTCGTCGCCCTGGTTGTGTCCTCCTGCAGAAGGCTCCGGGTCTCTGCGCCCTCCATTCTCTCCGAGCATGGCCACTGCCTCTTGCCTTTCCGCATCTTCCTGCCACCTGGCTTGGCTCTGGATTGCTCTGGTGCTCTCCAGCACAGAAGTCAGAGAAGCTGGCCCCGGAGCCTACCTTGGATTCTCCAGGAGAGGAACCAGTGATAGTGCTGGTGGTGCAGATGTGCCCCACGTGTGATGCAGGCAGAAGGGTGACGTGGAAAGGTGTCTTGGGAGAGTTCCAGCTTGACACTGGGCAGCCTGAGTTGGATCCCTGCCTCTATGGCAGGACAGTTGCACGATCCTTGTGACCCCCTAGCCTTTCTGAGCTCTGTCATCTCTTCTGTGAAATGGGGATGGTGGTAACCATCTGTCAGGGTTCTTGGAAGGATGGAACGGGGTGATGCACATAAAGCAGTTAGCAGGGACCTGACACCCTGGTGATGGTGTAGCTCTTAGGACACTGCTGGGACCTCGTGGTGGGTCTGTGGGGCTGGAAGTGTGTGACCCTAGCTGGGGTGGGCAGGCCTGTGGGTGGTATGGGCTTGGGCTAAAGCTGGACAGGTAGGGTGTTGAGAAATTACAGATTTCCTTTGTGCCAAGTTAGCTGCCAGCAGACACTGTGCCAGGCACCCTGAGCAAATAAGAAGTGTGCAGGGATGCATCTGGCCAGTGCATCAGAAAGCAAACTTGGCAGTTGGTGCCTGCAGCCGTTTGGGGAAAAGATTTAGGGGTCAAGCCGCAGGGCAACACCCAGGAGTGTTTTCCAGAATGTGACTGCTTCCCCTGTGGGTTGGCCCCACTGTGCCTCAGCAGTGTCTCTTGTTAGCTGGCGGCTGCAGGACCTGCTGACTTTTTTCCAGGGACCCTGTTTCCGACAGAAGGACGTAAATCCTTGGGTAAGGTAAAATGTTGGGGAAAAAAAACAAGGAAGAGGTTTTCTCTTCAGGTAGCTTTTATTTTTCTTGCACATTTAATTACAAGTTACCTCATGGAGGTAGAATTTGAGGAGGCAGTTCTCAGCAACTTTTGATGTAGAAGCCAAAGTGTGGGATAACTGCTTTTAACCTAGCATCTTCTAGCTTTACCCAAAAAAGGATCTTTTGTGCATCACTGAGACTGTACAGAGCATCGCAAGAAAATTATTTTTCTTACTTAAAATTGGAGAAATCTTTCGTGGAAGAAGGGTAGTGATCGCCTGCAAGAACACTTGCTTCCTGAGAGCCTCCTGTTGCCGATTCCCCTGGCTCACCTGCCACGGGATACACCGCTCCTCCACTAATACCATGCCCGAGAGCAGCATCTGTTCTTGGCCAGTGACATAGGTTGTTGCTTAGAGAAGATCCACTGGCTGAACATCAGCATCCGCTGAGCATCATTGCAAGAAAAGAGAAGCGAGACTTTGAAGCTCCTACCTCCCCTCCTGTGTGGGTGGCCCTCCGGGGCTCTGTTTTCTCTTTAGGACTGACTTGCAGATAGGTTAAGATATTGTTTCCAGGTCATTAGCTCTTTCTCCTGGACACTAGGATGTAATAGTGTTGTCCGTGCCATCAGATGAGTTGCTTGGTGCTTTCTGACTATACAGATTTGTCTCCTACGCAGAGTCTTATATGTTTTGAGAATTGCTGGATGGGCAGCTTGTTGGTTTATGTCACTAAGTTGCTAGGTTATGACCTTCCCGTACTTGAGCAATCCTTCTGGACCTCAAATAGTTTTCTTTTTTTTTTTTTTTCTCTTGGAATAACATCAGAGTCATTGCTTCCCAAAGTGCCTCATGATACTCGCAGTCTGTGCTGTTACTTTATTGTCTCGAGCCAGAGTATGTGAAGAGTGGTCAGATGCTCATGCTGCCTGCACGTCCTGGTGTCTCCCCAAAACTCAGTGGCTTCTGTTACCTGGTCTTCCCACCTCCCTGAAGATGGGAGTGGCCGCGGGGACGGTGGCCAATTCCCAACAAGTACTCTCACGGGTGGCAGGAAGGCCCCGAGACGAGTCTCATTCCAGTTGCCTGAGAGCACCTGGTTTTACTAACCTCGATTTTGCCAGGGTCGTGCAGGCAGGATTTCATCCATTTCCCTTTCCAGGGTCAGCACTCTGCCATGAGGTCGCTGAAGCTGACAGTCGGCAGCCTCATCCTCAGCAGGATCCTCCTGCACCATCAGATTCACGTGTTTCTTGCATGAAGGATTTCCTGCCCTTTGTGGAAGGCCAGCGCCTTTCCGTTCTTCACTCCAGTGTTGATATTCTTCTGGTGTTTTACTTTGTTTTGTTTTGTCTTTGGCAGAAGAAGGTTCAAGCCTGGAGGAAATTGGCTTTAACTGGGGAGAATATCTGGAAGAAACAGGTGCCAGTGCAGCTCCTCACACCTCCTTCAAACATGTACGTAACACACCCGTGTCTTTTTGGTCTGCATTTGGTGGGGCGGGTGGGGCATCTGCAGGAAGATGCTGAAGCTTTGGGGAGAAAAGGGAAATTGAGGCAGGATTTCTTAGACATCAAGAAGAGAGGTGGACATCGACTTGCTTTCTGCAGATCGCTGCGGGAAAGATGGGCCTTGTCCTTACGCTTGATCTCTTCTGGTAACGGGTGCTGGACCCATGGTGGGGCTCCGTGTGTGGGCTACAGTGTGCACCTTACCCTTGTTCTGCATCCTAAAGGGTCAGAATGCACAGATGTGGGCCTGCACGGTAGACAGACATGGCTCTACAAAGTACACAGACATGGCCCTACAAAGGGCACACAGCCTGAAACGAGTAAGAGTGATGTGAATCAAGAGCCAGCAAACTAGGCAAATACGTGTGATGAATAATGTCATCTAGGAGGAGTAATGGCTGTATATTTCCGTTTTGAATTGATATTTTTATTTCAAAAAGACACCTAAAAGTCATAGCCAACTTTGTGGGCAGATGAATGAAATTAGAGGAAATAGCTATAAATATTCAGGGCACGTTTGGATCAAATCAGGAAATCATTTTCATCGGTAATATTTCTTTGAACGATGCCCACGGTGTGCCCAGCCAAGGGCGAGTCCCAGAAAATAAAAGATTGAGGTTTTATCAGATTTTTGCTTATGTATGAGACTTTGGTAATATATCATTAGCCAGGGAAAGACTGAATTTCCAGGACCCAAGTTCTGAGGCATTACTGTTGCTTTACTGGAAATGAAAATTTAATTCTGAGAAACATTTCTTTTCCCCCCACTGTGCTATCCAAGGCAAAGATTTAGTCCAAGGATGGTAAGCAAACAGGCGTACTTCTACAGCATGTTCTTGCTTTTGGCTCTCTTGCCTCTTACGATTCTGGGATGACTTGGCTGGATCCCTTGAGGTGGTTTAGGAAGGAGATGCTGATCCATAATTTTTTCCTTCCTTTCTGTACCTGCAAGTTATCAATCTCTCTCCATGTGGAGCTTCTCTGTTCTGTTTGATCCAGTTACTTCTCCCACTTTCCTTTCTTTCTTTTTTTCTTTTTTAAGATTTTATTTATTTATTCATGAGAGAGAGAGAGAGAGAGGCAGAGACACACAGGCAGAGGGAGAAGCAGGCTCCATGCAGGGAGTCTGATGCGGGATTCAATCCCAGGAGCCCGGATCATGACCTGAGCTGAAGGCAGATGTTCAACCACTGAGCCCCCCAGGGCGTCCCGTCCCTCCCACCTCCCTTCAGCCACAGTGTCGTGTCCTTCTGGGTGCACCATATCCCTAGGCCCGTGTGCCAGGTTTAAAGGAAAAGTATTGTAGACCCATGGATGAGCTGTGTATCATTCCATCATCTCTTAAGCAGCAGCTCCTCATCGATGTCGGGTGAGCTTTCGATGTTACGGCTCACTAGGCTGCAAAGCTTTCTTTTCAGGGGATGGCTGGCAAATATTAATAGACTATAACCATTAATTAAAAAAAAACAGGAAATCTAATCTCTATGGCTGTGCTATTTGCACAGTGGCCACTAGCCACGTGGAGGTACTGAGCACTTGAAAAGTGTGCTGTCCAAATGGGGATGCGCGTCTACATGTAGAATGTGTGCCAGGTTTTGCAGGTTTCAATGGGAAACAACAGTGTAAAACAACTCAGTATTTTTCATGTTGATTACATCTTGCAATGACAATATTTGGGATATATCAGGTTAAACAAAATACATTATTAAAACTAATTTCATCTGTTTTAGCTCGCTAATTTTTTTAAAAGATTTTATTTATTTATTCATGAAAGATGCAGAGTAAGAGAGGCAGAGGCAGAGACACAGGCAGAGGGAGAAGCAGGCTCCCCAAGGGGAGCCCGATGTGGGACTCGATCCCAGGACCTTGGGGTCACGACCTGAACCAAAAGCAGACGCTCAACCCCTGAGCCACCCAGGCATCCCTATCTTGCTAATTTTTAATGTGCCTCCTAGTAAACCTCACGTCTGGTTGGTGGCTCACATTGTGTTTCTAGGGCAAGAGGAATACCATGTTTAAGTGCTGTATTTTTAATAGTTCTCGTGATCCTCTGGGTGTTGTCTGATATAATAACATTTTCCCCATGCTTTCTCTTTCCCAAAGGTTGAAATCAGCCTTCAGAGCAACTTCCAGCCGGGGATGAAACTGGAAGTGGCCAATAAGAACAACCCAGACACGTACTGGGTGGCCACCGTCATCACCACCTGCGGGCAGCTGCTGCTCCTGCGCTACTGTGGTTATGGCGAGGACCGCCGGGCCGACTTCTGGTGCGACGTGGTGATAGCAGATCTGCACCCCGTGGGGTGGTGCACACAGAACAACAAGGCCTTGATGCCCCCGGATGGTAAGCTCCCTGCGTGTAGATGCCGAGGCAGCCCACATCCCGAGGCCTTTTGATTTGCAAGCGATCATCGTTCATGATGCTCATAGAGAAGCCTCGTAGACATCTGAACACTGATTTAGTAGGAAGGTCCGGTGCTTTATGGGTTCCTTCCTTTGAGTTTCAGGGTCTGGTGGGCTCTCGAAGTGAGGGCGACCTGGGTGCAGCTGAGCCCACCATGACCTTCTGGAGACTAAGGCTCTGAGTCTAATCCTCAAATGAGCGTTGAGGGTAGGAGACGAGGGCTGAGGGATGGATGGGCGCCGACTTGTAGAAACCTGGCCGCGTATCACACACGCGTATCACACAGGCACCTGGAAGGAGCTCGTCGGACCTTGTGAGTGAGAAGAGGCACGTTTCCAGATACCTGAATACTTAACACCCTGTTTTCAGGGTTTGATTCCATGGTGATGGCAGCCGTTTTGCTTGAAGACTTTCAATGCTGATTCTCAAGCCTGTGTAATATCCTCGTGGTAGCTTGTCTGTCTGTTTTAATTTTGACTTGATACTTTTATTCCCACCTGACACGTAGCTTTCGCAGCTGAATTCAGAGCTTCTTTCTGTCTACTGTACTGGCTGTTGCTTTTGCCTGGAACTTTTGGATTTTACCTTCCTTCTGAAGTTCTGATATATTGCTCTTCTGATTGGTGGGAATGGTCTGTGGCTTCCTACTGGCCTGTGTTATGCATGATTGAGAGCCTGCTAAGAGGCGGTCAGAATAGACCCATAAAGCTTGAGTTGTGATGTCTATAAGGACTGAACAGATTGCATGAGCCTCAGCCGACATTATTTGCCTCATTGCCTCAGAGGAAAGAGACACAGGCCCTTTGGTCCTGGTTTGGGCCGTTGCACCTGTGATCCCCTCATGCACAGGCTCTTTCCAGTCCTCTGCCCCGAGGTACCCCTTCCTCCTCCAGCTGTCACCTGTGGCTTCCTCAGACCACCATGGTCAGACCCTGTCTTGATTCCCTAAGCCCCTGATGCCCTTGGACTTGGCTCACATTTGCATCTGTGTGTCTCCCCCTCTTACTGATCTTTGAAAGAAAAAATTGAGTTCCCATACACACACTGTAAAACTCATCCCTTTAAAGTGTGCACATCAGTGATTTTTGGTGTAGTCACAAGGCCGCGCAACCATGGTCATTGTCTTAATTCCAGAGCATTGTCATCACCCTGTAAAGGGAACCCCATAAGGTGCCCACTGACCGCCGCTCTGTTCTTTCGTTCCCCAGGCGCTGGCAGCCACTAGCCTGCTTTCTGTTTCTACAGCCTTGTTTATGGAAACACGTGGAATCACATAACGTGAGAGTGAGGCTGCTTGAGTTTGGCTTCTTGGGCTTCGCGCCCTGTGCTGGAGGCTCATCCCTGTTGTCCGTAGCGTGGGTCAGGCCTTCATTCCTTTTTCTGGATGAATTGTCGTTCTGCTGTGTGGCTGGACCGCACTGTCCCTCTGCACGCAGCAGCGGGTGGGCGCAGCTTTGACCCCGAGCAGCCCTGGGCAGTTGTTCACCTGTGCAGTCCTGTGCTAACACCTGTGCCCCGCGAGGTCTCGGTGAGCATTCACGGGCAGACTGAAGGCTCTGGAAGGAAGTTATTATCTGTGCTTTCGTAGATGCCCTCGAGAGAGGAATGCTGTAGTGCCTGTCTCCCTGCCTCTGAGTCAGTGCTGGTCCTATGCTTGGAGCTGCATGTGTGAGCCTTGTTTCTGGTCTCACTGTGGAGTGAGGGCTGCTCCAGTGATTGCTGGCCTGGGACTTTGCTCCTGCCTCCCATCCCGGCTGTGCAGGTGCACGCAGTGGGCCGAGCAGGGTAAAGCTCTACCTCAGCATGTCCTAGGCCCAGCTTGCACTGTGTCTGTCCCCAGCGACACTTTTATGTTTCTCTTATTTTTTTTTTACCCCCTTTATAAGATTTTTTAAGTGGACAGACCTTGTGAAATGTAAGCACCACGTCAGCCCAGCTCCAGAACCTTTGTGTCTTGAGTAACAAGCTTTGTACCCACTGAACAGCAACCCCCCACTTCCTCCCCTCCTGGAAGCCAACATTCCACCATCTGCTTCTCTGGGATTGATGGCTTCAGAGGCCTCACGTAACTGGAGTCCTGCACTATTTGTCCCCTTGTGACTGGCTTACCTTCCCCTCAGCATCATGTCCTCAAGGTTTGTCCACGTGCAGCATGTCCCAGGATTTCCTTTTTTTTGTTTCTAATTTTGTTGAGATAGAATGAACCCACAACCCTGCGTATGTGTAAGGTGCATAGCATCATAAGTTTTTAAAAATCTTTTTAAAATTGGAGTTCAATTTGCCAACATATAGCATAACACCCAGTGCTCATCCCGCCAAGTGCGCCCCTCATTGCCCATCACCCAGTCACCCCAACCCCCCGCCCACCTCCCCTTCCACTACCCCTTGTTCATTTCCCAGAGTTAGGTGTCTCTCATGTTTTGTCATCCTCACTGATATTTTCACTCATTTGCTTCAACGTGGAGGGACCTGGAGGGTATTATGCTGAGTGAAAGAAGTCAATCGAAAAAGGACAAACATTATATAGCATCATGAGTTGACTCACGTACGTGTGAAGCCGTACAGCAGGTTAGGTGAACATCCGTCGTCTCATAGAGATACAAAAAAGAACAAAGAGAAAAAAGTGTTTTTTCCTTGTGATGAGAGCTCTAGGATTTATCATCTTAGAATTTTGAAATACGCCACACAGCAGTGTTAGCTGGCGTCCTCACGCTGCGCCTTCTTCTTATAACCTTTCCACCTTCACCCATTTCCCTTACCCCCCCATCTGCTGCTGCTAGCAACTGCTGCATATCTCATCCCTTTTTTAAATGTTTTCTGTGGTTTTTTTGTTTATGTTTTTTAGATTCCACGTATAAGTAAGATCGTACAGTATTTTCCTTTCTCTATCTGACTTATTTCATTTAACATAGTGGCTCCAGGGCTGTCCATATTGCTGCAAATGGCAGGATTTTCTTGTGGCTAAAGAATGTATACACACACACACACTATATATACACACACACTCAATGAATATTTAGGTCGTTTCCACCTCTTGGCTGTTGTAGATCATGCTGCTGTGAACATAGGGGGTACACATATCTCTTCGACGAGTGTCTTTGCTTCCTTTGGGTAGACACGCAGTCACAGAATTGCTGGATCCTGGGGTAGTTCCCGTTTTAATCTTCCGAGGACCCTCCGTACTAGTTTCCGAGGGGGCCACACTGATTGGCAGTCACCCCAGCCACGCAGGAGGGTTCTCTGCTCTCCGTGTCCTTGCCAGCATCCCAGGTTATCCCTTGTCTGTCCAAGGAGAGCCATTCCACAGGTGTAATGTGATGCCTCCTCGGGTTATGATTGTCATTTCCCTCATGATGAGTGATGTGGAGCAGGACCCGTTTATGCTCTTTGGAAAAATGTCTCTTGGAGCTTCTTCTCACTTTTTTTTTTAATTGATGTACGGTTGACACGCAGTGTTTCGTTAGTTTCAGGTGTCCCACACAGCGATTCAGCTTCTATCTTGGCTGTGCTCCCCGCAAGTGGGGCTGCCGCCTGTGCCCATAGAACGCTGTTATCGATTATATTTCCCTTGCTATACCATCAACTATATTCCCCTTGCTGTATCTTTCATCCCCATGATTTATTCATTCTGTAACTGGAAGCCTGGACCTCTTGATCCCCTTCACCAAATACATGAAGGGAAATGGGTGAAGCTTCCGCCCATTTTTCTTTTTTCTTTTCTTTTCTTTTCTTTTTCTTTCTTTCTTTTCTTTTCTTTTCTTTTCTTTTCTTTTCTTTTCTTTTCTTTTTCTTTTCTTTTCTTTTCTTTTTTTCTGCTCATTTTTAAATTGGATTGTTTGTTGTTGTTGTTGTTTTTAGCTATGGAATTATAGCAGTTCTATATACATTTTGTATATTAACTCCTTATCCAGATACATGGTTGCAAATATTTTTTCCCCATTCTGTAGGTTGTCTTTTCATTTTGTTGATGGCTTCCTTTGCAGTGCAGCAGCTTTTTAGTTTGATGTAGGTCTGCCTGTTTTTATTTTATTGCTTGTGCTTTAGGTGTCCTATCCAAAAATAAAGCATTGGGAAGACCGACGTCAAGGACTTTTTTTTCTCCCTGTGTGTTCTTGTAGGAGTTGTATGGTGTCTGGGCCTAACATTCAGCTCCTTGGTTCATTCCAAGTTAATTTTTTTTTTTTTTTTTTGCTAGTCATGTAGACAGGGCTCTCTTCTTTTTTTTTTTAAGACTGAATAATATTCCACTTGCTTTGAATTAAAAACAGCCACAGAGGTGAGAAGATACAGTGTGTTATATGATTATTTAATTTCCTTGTGGTCTCTGTTCTCTCCTGAAGTGAACCAGTCTTGACAGAGGATTTGTGCTGATGGAAAATTGGAAAAACATCAGGGCTACTCGAGAACGAGACTTCTTCCCGCTAGCCTGGCTCCACTCATGGCGGCCCCGCCACGATGCCCACACCTTCTGGGGAGGGTTCTCAGGCTGCTGCCCCCCCTTCTCACTGTCCTTGCTTATCTCATACATGACTCACTCTCCAAGTTTGACATGTTAGCAGCTAAATGCCCTTGGAAAGGCTGCACGATGGTTTCACTTTATAATAGATTCTCTAGTGAATCGTTTTTAGAGACAAGTTCCAGAGTGCTGAATTTTAACACTCTCGGAGCTAATGGGTTCATTTGGTAGAAATCCATGCTGTTGCTTGAGAGAGAGGGCATAGTTTATTAATCAATTCTTCTTTCTCGCTTGGATGAAAAATGTGGCAGCAGTCACAGCTCCAGAAGCAACATCAAATTTGTATCCTACTGACTTTGCGCTATTAGGCGAGACAGGGACACAGTTAAAATGACAAATTCCCAATGAAAAATGGGAACACTCTGTAAAGGGGGAAAGCATTAATGTGACGGAGAGATTTGAAGCCGCTCAAACAATAACAAGT